CGGGTCGCAGCGCAGGGCAGCGAGAAAAGTACCAGGGGCCCTCGCTTGCTCCTGACTGGTCCTTAAGTGGGGGGTGGGGACAGCGGTGGGAGGGGGCAGCGGGGTGGCTGAGGTCGTCTGCTCCCCCCACCTCGGTGGCGCCCCGGGCAAGGATCTCGTCCAATACCCTGCTTCTGCTCTTCAGAAGTGGCAGTTTTTTTGAACTTTTTGTCTCTTACTGCGGATCATTTGCCCCATCTGCATGAAGCAGTTAATTTTAGTTTCTTCTGGTTTCTTCGGATCTTGTTGCTGGAGGAGACGTTTGTCCGGCTGCAAGTCCTGCAGCGAAGGGTCCCAGGTGTGGCCTCTCTCATGAGAACGTGGGGACTTTAGGGTGGTCACGTTGGATGCAGCCATTGAGGCAGGGCCCTGTGAGAAGTCAGGGAGACCAGAGCTCTCTCCAGCCTCATGAAGTCACAACAGGGAGCCAGGGGTCTGCACACCTACGGCAGGGACCTCACCAGACTCCAGCCTTGCGGACGCCGATCTGTGGCTTCCAGCCTCCAGGTCCATGGAAGATACTATGTGTGGTTTACACCTCAGGGATGCTCTGCCTAAGCAGCATCCCTCCCCAGCATCCAGGGTGGGACTGAAGGTTGATCCATGCCTGGCCTGGATGAGACACAGGACCACATGAGCCAAGGGGACCCCTCACTCCACTGCGTGCCCCACCTGGCCCTGAAGGGTGAGAGCCCACGGGCATCTCACAGCCCCCACTCTATCTGGGACCAGGATCCATCAGGCTGTGTGTGTACACGTGTGTGCATTTGTGTGCATGTGTGAGTGTGTGTCCGCGTATGTGTGTGTGTGTCGGCCGATCGTGGATCGGACAGGCAACACAAGGAAACTGATAGAGAAAAAGTTTGTAACATGGACATCCCCTGGAGCCCCCAGAATTACAGTCCTCATGAAGCTCACCATCGGTGAAGAGTGTCTCTTCCATAATTGCTGCTTAATGTGACTGAGTAAGAAGGGCAGAGCCCCGGGCTCCTGACTCGCTCTATGTCACGCTCCTCTTGGCTTCCCAGGGCCTCAGGGCCGGATGACCGCTGGCCACACCCACGGGCCCACACTCAGTCCCCACGTCCCGCACTGATGCCCTTCCCTTGAGGTTCACGATCGCCCGAGTCTCTTCCTGTTTGAAGGGCTCGCGTGCCCTCTCCCTCCGGGGTCTCTCCACAAGGCTCCACTCTGCCAGTGCCCTCCCGCGGGGGCCCTGGGCTGGCCTCTGGAGAAGCCCACGGCCCTGGAGGAAGGGGGACGGTGGGTCAGAGCTGCTGGCTGGGGCTGCCTCTCCTGTAAACTGCAGAGCCGTGAGGCCCCGGGCAAAGATCCAGCCACCGATGGTGTTGGTCTCCTATCGTCAACGTGGTAGCAGACCCACATGCTTACTCCCTGGCACGTCTGGAGGACAGAGGATGAAGCAGGGATTGCAGGATGGGGGCTAACATCAACGTGTGGGCAGAGTTGGTTCCTCCGGAGGCTCAGGGAGGACCCCTCCCTCACTTTTCTGGCTTCTAGAGGCGCCTGCACTCCTGGCCTCCTGGCCTCCTCTGTTTTCAAAACCAGCGAGAGCAGCTCAGCTCCCTCTCAGGTCGCTCTCTCCCCTCCTGCTCCCATCTGTCTCCCACAAAGACCCTCTGATTACACCGGCCCCTCCCTGATGATCCAGGGTCGTCACACATCTCAGGTCAGCTGACCGGAAATCCTGATTCCATCTGCAACCTTAAGCCCCCTTTGTCCTGTGGCAATTTACTCCCCAGCTGTGAGAGTGAGAACACACACATATTTGGAGGTTTTATTCTGCTCGCCACACTGACATTCATCCTTTCTGTTTGCATCCAACAGCATAAAAAAGGGCTTAAGAGCAGAGCTTGAAAGCATCGATGTTTTTCTAGCCCTCTTGGCATCTACAACCTACGCTGCACTCAGTCATGCTTGCATGCTCAGTTGCGTCCAACTCTTTGCATCCCATGGACTGTGACCTGACGGGTACGCCTGTCTGTGGAATTTTTCCAGGCAAGAATACTGGAATGGGTTGCCACTTCCTCCTCCAGGGGACCTTCCCAACCCAGGGAGTGAACCCACGTCTCCTGCATTGGCAGGTGGATTCTTCAGCACTGTGCCGTTTGTGGTTCCCTCAAAACCTGCAAACAAGTAGGATAGACCTGCACTGGGCTGGGTTCCATGCAACGCAGGGGAGAAGGTCCAGCCCACCCTCAGCACCCCTGCCACCCAGGGGTGCATCCTCTCATGACCTAAGGAGACTCAGAGAGGTTCAGCCACTGGCCAGGGTCACACAGCCGGTGGGTGGAGACACAGCTTCAAGTGTGGACTGCCCGGCTCCAGTGGGAGGAGAGAGACCTGGGTGATGATGAGTCCCAGGATCAGGAGGGTCTGCCTCAGCTTTATTGAGATCCATGCTCTCTGAGGAGGGAACTGGCCCTCCTGCCCCCTGTCCCCTGCACTCTCAGGGACTCACCTATCAGCTGTCCCCTGCACTCTCAGGGACTCACCTATCAGCTGTCCCCTGCACTCTCAGGAACTCACCTACCAGCTGTCCCCTGCACTCTCAGGGACTCACCTACCAGCTGGGATCGGCGCACACTCACCTGCAGGAGTCGGAAGGCTCAGCAGGACTGCGACGGGTCAACCCAAAGGATCCCACAGGGACCTGGGATCAGAGCCAGCACCCAGCAAGGAAGGCCCGGCTCCTAGGGGTGTTAGCTTGGCCTGCAGATGCCTGAGCTCCCATCCGGGCTGGAATCCAGGGCTCAGAGCTTCAGGCCCGGCTCTGTCTCTCGGGAGATATTTTGGACATTTAAATCCCAGCTGCATCCCGATGTCCCCAAAATAACCACTGGCAGCCACTTCTGGAATCAGTCCCCATCGGGCTCGCAATCAAGCCTCCGCCATCTGACAGCTGGCCCAAAGTGGGGAGGCGTGTGGGAGGCTCTAGGGCCTAGGGGACGTGGGTTCATGTCCAGGATCAGCCTCTGGCCAGCAAATGCCTGGATGCCTCTGAGCCCCCTTTTGCCTCATCAAATGGCCTCAGCAATACTTCACGGGGTTTGTGAAGATACGATCAGATAAAGTCTTCAAGGTCATGTTCAGGGCTTTGGCACTGGAAGCTCCTGATGAATGGTGCACCGTGACGGGGAAGGGGAAGCCGGGGTCGCTGAGCCGCAATTCACACTCAAAGACCAGGTCCAACCCAGCTGCAGACAGGGCCTTCCAGCCACCTGCCGAGTCCATCTGGGCACGAGGCTGGCCCCTGGCATGGGCACCCCTTTCCTCTAGCCCACCCCAATCGCTGCACTGGGCTGACTCCAGGGTAAGCCTCAGCCCTTAAGTCCAAGCTCACCTCTGCAGGGAGCCCTCCTCGACCCCTCCAGCTTGACGCTGTGTCCCACGACCCTTCAGAGCAGCCAGAGGACCTGGATCCGCAGACGGTCCTGCTGTTAAAGACAAGGTCCATGAGGTTATGGCAGTCTGCTCCCCTATCCCCTCCTCCCAGCCCTGGAGCCCTCCCTGCCTGCTGTCCTCTGACCCTCAATGCCCCCCAAGTTCAGCCCCTCCCCACCCCGCACCCCTGGGACAGATCAGAGCCTCCCTCTGAGGGTCAGAATTCTCCTTCTTCCCCAGAATTATCGACAGTGAGCAGGGAAACTGAGTCCTCCCAGCCCTGTCTGAGCTCAGCTCTTCCCTCCCTGGGCCCTGGTTCACACCCTTTGTAAATTCAAAGACTAGATAGAAAAGAGACTCTCACCCCAACTACTAGAGAAGGCAGTGGCACCCCACTCCAGTACTCTTGCCTGGAAAATCCCATGGACAGAGGAGGCTGGTAGGCCGCAGTCCACGGGGTCGCGCGAAGAGTCGGACACGACTGAGCGACTTCACTTTCACTTTTCACTTTCATGCATTGGAGAAGGAAATGGCAACCCACTCCAGCGTTCTTGCCTGGAGAATCCCAGGGACGGGGGAGCCTGGTGGGCTGCCGTCTATGGGGTCGCACAGAGTCAGACACGACTGAAGCGACTTAGCAGCAGCAGCAGCAACCCCAACTACACAGTAGCATCAAGTGAGGAACTTTAAGAAACCAAACCTCATGGTGACCCTCATCTGAACCAGGACTAGGGCAGAAGCTTTGAATCTTGCACTTTGGATGGATCTTTTAATCACATTTGCAGATTACTGCCTCACTGAGTCACACGGGTCTTCTACATGTTGATGTATTTTGTTATCTGATACCAAGAAGGCACATTTGTTAATACCCCCACGAATCTCATCAGAGAAGTCTTTAGGCACTGGGGTGCTGGCAAGCTCATGGTAGCAGATGCAAGGGCTACTAAATCCTAAGTCTCATTTGAAGATTCAAAGTTTATCAATAATATTATGATTAATACTGTCAGCTATTTTCCTTGAAGTCATGGGCTCTAGTTCATTTTTGAGAAAATGTCTTCCAAACACTCAAGTTTGAATATTCCTAGTTTGTCCGTCACACCATTCTTTCAGGTAAAAACCATGTTCTGTGAAAACAGTGCCTAGTTTAGTCTGTAACTCAAGTGAAGTGAAAGTCACTCAGTCCTGTCCGACTCTTTGCGACCCCATGAACTATACAGTCAATGGAATTCTCCAAACCAGGATACTGGAGTGGGAAGCCTTTCCCTTCTCCAGGGGATCGTCCCAACCCGGGGATCGAACCCAGGTCTCCCGCATTGCTGGCGGATTCCTTACCAGCTGAGCCACCGGGGACGCCCGTGTTAGTCAAGTACCACCGTATTCAGCGTGCAGAATGCGCGTCCTGTGTGTGCTTCCCTACTGTTACACAGAATGCTAACGCAGCATGTACGCAAGGGTGAGGATTTAATACAACTAGCAGCTTTTACTAGTTTTACTAGCGAGTGACCCCGGGGCGGGCTGCGGAGTAAGCGGGCGGCGAGCGGCCCGCGGAGGCCTAGGCCGCGCGGCCCACGCGGAGGTCGGTGCAGAGGAACTACGGGGTCCGCGCCCGGGATCCCCCCGCCGCCGCCAGCGCCATCAGCGCCGTCGCCTCCGACGCCTAGCTGGCTACCCCGCACCTCCTCCACCCCCGCCCGCTCCCTGACGACAGACCTTCTTTGCCCTTTAAAAGAAATGCCACCCATTCAGAGACACAAGGGCAGCGGCTTGGCAGATTCTTTATCATCAGAGCCACAAGGAAACAAGGAACAAGAAGCGCGGCGCCCGCGACGGGCCGCGCACCAGCGCGGCGAGAGGAGCTACTACAAGTGCAAGGTCAGGAGGGGCGGCGTGAGGCGCTGTCCCGTCCAAGGTCAGGAGGGGCGGCGTGAGGCGCTGTCCCGTCCAAGGTCAGGAGGGGCGGCGTGAGGCGCTGTCCCGTCCAAGGTCAGGAGCGGCGGCTGCGCTTTGCTGGGGCAGCCGTGAAGAGACACCCCACGTCCAAGGTAAGAGAAACCCAAGTAAGACGGTAGGCGCTGAGAGAGGGCATCCGAGGGCAGACAGACGGAAACCACAGTCACAGACAACTAGGCAGTGTGATCACAGGACCACAGCCTTGAATAACTCAGTGAAACTAAGCCATGCCGTGTGGGGCCACCCAGGACGGACGGGTCATGGTGGAGAGGTCTGACGGAATGTGGTCCACTGGACAAGGGAATGGCAAACCACTTCAGTATTCTTGCCTTGAGAACCCCATGAACAGCATGAAAAGGCAAAATGATACGACACTGAAAGATGAACTCCCCAGGTCAGTAGGTGCCCAGTAAGCTACTGGAGATCAGTGGAGGAATAACTCCAGAAAGAATGAAGGGATGGAGCCAAAGCAAAAACAACACCCAGTTGTGGATGTGACTGGTGATAGAAGCAGGGTCCAACACTGTAAAGAGCAATACTGCATAGGAACCTGGAATGTTAGGTCCATGAATCAAGGCAAATTGGAAGTGGTCAAACAGGAGATGGCAAGAGTGAACGTTGACATTCTAGGAATCAGCAAACTAAAATGGACTGGAATGGGGGAATTTAACTCAGATGACCATTATATCTACTACTGTGGGCAGGAATCCCTTAGAAGAAATGGAGTAGCCATCATGGTCAACAAAAGAGTCTGAAATGCAATACTTGGATGCAGTCTCAAAAATGACAGAATGATCTCTGTTCATTTCTAAGGCAAAGCGTTCAATATTACAGTAATCCAAGCCTATGCCCCAACCAGTAATGCTGAAGAAGCTGAAGTTGAATGGTTCTGTGAAGACCTACAAGACCTTTTAGAACTAACACCCAAAAAAAGAGGTCCTTTTCAATATAGGGGACTAGAATGCAAAAGTAGGAAGTCAGGAAACACCTAGAGTAACAGGCAAATTTGGCCTTGGAGTAGAGAATGAAGCAGGGCAAAGGCTAATAGAGTTTTGCCAAGAGAACACACTGGTCATATCAATCACCCTCTTCCAACAACACAAGAGAAGACTCTACACATGGGCATCACCAGATGGTCGACACCAAAACCAGATTGATTATATTCTTTGCAGCCAAAGTTGGAGAAGCTCTATACAGTCAACAAAAACAAGTCAGCAAAAAAAAGCTGACTGTGGCTCAGATCATGAACTCCTATTGCCAAATTCAGACTTAAATTGAAGAAATTACGACAAACCACCAGACCATTCAGATAGGACCTAAATCAAATCCCTTATGATTATATAGTAGAAGTGAGAAATAGATTTAAGGGACTAGATCTGATAGACAGAGTGCCTGATGAACTATGGATGGAGGTTCATGACATTGTACAGAAGACAGGGATTAAGACCACCCCCATGGAAAAGAATTGCAAAAAAGCAAAATTGCTGTCTAAGGAGGGCTTACAAATAGCTGTGAAAAGCAAAGGAGAAAATGAAAGATATTCCCATTTGAATGCAGAGTTCCAAAGAATAGCAAGGAGAGATAAGAAAGCCTTCCTCAGAGATCAATGCAAAGAAATAGAAGAAAACAACAGAATGGGAAAGACTAGAGATCTCTTCAAGAAAATTAGAGATACCAAGGGAATATTTCATGCAAAGATGGGCTCAATAAAGGACAGAAATGGTATGGACCTAACAGAAGCAGAAGATATTAAGAAGAGGTGGCAAGAATACACAGAAGAACTATACAAAAAAGATCTTCATGACCCAGATAATCATGATGGTGTGATCACTCACCTAGAGCCAGACATCCTGGAATGTGAAGTCAAGTGGGCCTTAGGAAGCATCACTACAAACAAAGCTAGTGAAGGTGATGGAATTCCAGCTGAACTAATTCAAATCTTAAAAGATGATGCTGTGACAGTGCTGTACTCAATGTACCAGCCAATTTGGAAAACCCAGCAGTGGCCACAGGACTGGAAAAAGTCAGTTTTCATTCCAATCCCTAAGAAAGGCAATCCCAAAGAATGCTCAAACTACTGCACAATTGCACTCATCTCACATGCTAGTAAAGTAATGCTCAAAATTCTCCGAGCATAGCTTCAGCAATATGTGAACCATGAACTTCCAGATGTTCAAGCTGGTTTTAGCAAAGGCAGAGGAACCAGAGATCAAATTGCCAATATCCTCTGGATCATTAAAAGCAAGAGAGTTCCAGAAAAACATCTATTTCTGCTTTTTTGACTATGCCAAAGCCTTTGACTGTGTGGATCACAATAAACTGTAGAAAATTCTGAAAGAGATGGGATTATCAGACCACCTGACTTGCCTCTTGAGAAACCTATATGCAGGTCAGGAAGCAACAGTTAGAACTGGACATGGAACAACAGACTGGTTCCAAATAGGAAAAGGAGTATGTCAAGGCTGTATATTGTCACCCTGCTTATTTAACCTATATGAAGAGTACATCATGAGAAATGCTGGGCTGGAAGAAGCACAAGCTGGAATCAGGATTGCCAGGAGAAATATCAATAACCTCAGATATGCAGATGACACCACCCTTATGGCAGAAAGTGAAGAGGAACTAAAAAGCCTCTTGATGAAAGTGAAATATGAGAGTGAAAAAGTTGGCTTAAAGCTCAACATTCAGAAAACTAAGATCATGGCCTCCGGTCCCATCACTTCATGGTAAATAGATAGGGAAACAGTGGAAACAGTGTCAGACTTTATTTTGGGGGGCTCCAAAATCACTGCAGATGGTGATTGCAGCCATGAAATTAAAAGACACTTACTCCTTGGGAGGAAAGTTATGACCAACCTAGATAGCATATTAAAAAGCAGAGACATTACTTTGCCAACAAAGGTCCATCTAGTCAAGGCTATGGTTTTTCCAGTAGTCATGAATGGATGTGAGATTTGAACAGTGAAGAAAGCTGAGCACAGTAGAATTGATGCTTTTGAACTGTGGTGTTGGAGAAGACTCTTGAGAGTCCCTTGGATTGCAAGGAGATCCAACCAGTCCATCCTAAAGGAGGTCAGTCCTAGGTGTTCATTGGAAAGACTGATGTTGAAGCTGAAACTCCAATACTTTGGCCACCTGATGCAAAGAGTTGACTCATTAGAAAAGACCCTAATGCTGGGAAGGATTGGGGGCAGGATGAGAAGGGGACGACAGAGGATGAGATGGCTGGATGGCATCACCGACTCAATGGATATGGGTTTGGGTGGACTCCCAGGAGTTGGTGATGGACAGGGAGGCCTGGCGTGCTGCAATTCATGGGGTCACAAAGAGTTGGATACGACTGAGCGACTGAACTGAACTGAACTGAGTAGCTTTTACTGCTTCATTAAGGACAATCCCGAGTGAAACTGACAGTTTTGCTTTACTGTGAATGTTTGGAGGCCCAATCTTTTCAACAAAAGGTCCTGGGAAAACTGGGTGTTCACCTGCAAAAGAATGAAGTTGAACCCTTACCTAAAGCTACATAAAAATTAACTCAAAATGTATCAGAGACCTAAATATAAGACCCAAAACAACAAAAGAAGAAAACTGAGGACCAAACATTGATTAGGCAATGATTTTTTGGATATGACACCAAAGTCCTAACCAACAACAAGCCAAAAAAGACAGACTGGAGTTCAGGAAAATTTTAAAACTTTGCACGTTGAAAGACACTATCAACAGAGTAAAAATGAAAACCACACAATGGAAGAAAACGTTTGGGAATCATATACCAGGTAAGGGGCCGGTATCCAAAATACATAAAGAGTTCATGGAACTCAACAGCAACAAACGCAACTCAGTATAAAAATGGACAAAGGGCTTGAATAGACATTTCTCCAAAGAAGATGGGCAAATGGTCAATAAGACATGAAAAGATCTCAGCATCCCCGTCACGTTAGGCTAGATGAGGTTAGGTTTAGCCTCTCAGTCGCGTCTGACTCTTGCGACCCAATGGCCTATAGGCTCCTCTGTCCATGGGATTCTCCAAGACAAGAATACTGGAATGGTTTGCCATTTCCTTCTCCAGGGGATCTTCCCAACCCGGGGATTAAGGAAGTGCAAATAACAAGTATGAGATACCACCTCACACCCATTAGGATGGTTACTCTCAGGAAACAGAAAACCGCCACCACTGGATGCGGAGAAGCTGAGGCCCCCTGTGCACCACGGTGGGAATGGTGCCCGTGCTGGAGGAAAACGGCGTTCCTCGAAAACTAAAGTTAGAATTGCCAATGATCAGCAACCCACTTCTGAGCATAAACCCAAAGGAACGGAAGCTTGATCTTGAAGAGGTGATTGAACACCCATGTTCACAACATCATGATTCACAAAGTGAAGAAGCAACCAGGTGTTCACTGACAGATGAACGAATAAACAAAATGTTACACGTGCATACAGTGGGATATCATTCAGTGTTTAAAAGGAAGGAAATCCTACAGTATGAATGAACCCTGAGGACATTATGATAAATGAAATAAGCCAGTCACAAAAGACAAATATCATATGATTCCACTTAACATGATGATACTTAGCGTAGTTCAAATCACAGAGACAGAAAGTCAAATGGTAGATTTCAGGGCTGGGGGAATGGATGGGAGTTACCATTTAATGGATATAGAATTTGTTTTTCAAGATGAAAAGCGTTCTGGAGATGAGTGGTGGTGATGGC